AAGAGCAGAGAAAATAATTTTAAAGTCATAGCACTAAAACGTAGATATAGTTTGTTGTAGGTAGAGAAGGAGAAAGAAAAATCAAAGAGCAATGGTCCCGGTTGTTAAATTCTTTGCTGTAGCCCTGCAGTGTGGTTGTGACTAATCCTTGGGTGCATCACTCACAGTGAGTCCTGCCTGTAGCCTCAAGCTCTACAGTTCAAGAACACAACAGACTGAGATGACTTCAGAAAAAAGAAACGACATTAGTTCATTGTAGGAAGGGACTCGTTTCTGAAAAAACAAAGAATAGTGCCAGTCATGCATACAGCTCACAAAAAATGAAACCATTCTCCAGAAACGTCTTCTGCACATTGCAGGCTGGTCTGGAACCATCCCCACATTTTTTAAAGATCTCCATCAAAAGCTGAGGTTATGAATGAATGTTGAAAAGTAATGTAGGAAAATAGAAGTTGTAGAAAATAGAAATGAGTCCAACTTAATACCTAAGTAATTCTGTAAACAGTGTTCATTGGTAAGGAAGAGGAAATTCAAAATGAATAACAGGAAAAACTACAAGCTGTTTTTCATTTTGCAAGAATAGCTTTTCTTGAGCTTCCACTGCCACTTGAATCTTTTCAAATCATTGACTTAAATAAATAACTAAAATACACATATATAAAAGAAACCATGAGGATAGATTCTGATCCTGTGTCTCTCAGCCTGTGCAAGCCCATGAAAGGTCAGATTTGCTAAGACTAAGACTGATGGATTCTCCCAGGGCAGGTTTCCTGAAGACAGCAGGTCCACCCTTTCTTCCCCTGTCTCTTTTCTGGGGCCAGCAACCAGCAGATGAGGGAGACACAAGAGTAGAGTGTGCATCTAGTCCTGGTCTGCTTGATTGGCTGGGGTTTCTCCTCTTTCACAACCCCATTAGTCAGATTCTCACAGAGCATATTCTTTTCCCTTGGAGTCAACTCTGCCCCTTGTTTTGAATCCCAGGTTTAAACTCTGAGCAAGTACCACATACAAAAGTTGCAAAGCAAATTTCCTGGTTAGGTGTAGATGGAGCTTTGGATTTAAGTGAACTGTTAACTGATGTATCAGATATACAGTAAGGTCATATGAAGAAGGAAGAAAATAATGAGCTCCTGATAGAGAAATAATTCAATGCAACATGAAGATCATTTGATCCAGCACCTAGCACAAAAACGTCTCAGAAAATGTAGCTAATGTCGAGTGGCTATTTACCAAGGAAGAGGTTGAACTGGGTGCCCAGATGTGCACATTAGAATGTGTTGGTTCCGTCACTTACAGCTGAGTGAACTTGGCAGGCCACATCAGCTCTGTGCCTCAGTTTCCTTATCCCTAAAATGAGAATAATGGGAGCACCAGCTTGTTATAAATTATGAGGAATGAATTAATTAATATATATACAGCTCCAAGAACCTGAAACATAGTAAGTTCTCAATAAAATCTTAGCAATTACAACCTTTAGGGTATGAATTGGCAAATGGTTTTACCTGTCTCATAAAGTTTTAGGAAGTTTAAATAAAACAACTATAAAAATTCTTGGCAGAGCTTCTAGTTCATATCAAGTACTTGCAGTCAGATATTACTCCAGAGAAGATTCTTATGATAATTACTGGTATTTCACTATGCTGAATAGGGACTTTGAGTACAGCTCAATGGTAGACCTCATGCTTAGCCAGTTTAGTCCACAGTACTCCCAGAGAGGACGATGGAGGGTTAAACTATGTTGACTAGTTCTTTACTGAGTAGACAACTGATTTTTACATTTCTTCTGTTGTTTAATATTAACAATTAATTAGATGCTTTCATGAGTTGGTAAAAAAGCATTTTCACCTATGGCTAATAAAAAATATATGGGCTGAAAAGGATTGTAATAACACAATGTATTAGCCTTTTTGGAAATGTCTTTCATTACTATTTTCCAACTCTGTAATACAATTTTCTGTATTTTTGCTATTTTATCATATGAGTTAAAGACATATTTATTTCTTTCAGAGTGGTTTGAGTCATTCTCCTGGTATTCAGCTAAATTAAATGCCGGTATTTTGGAACAGTATCTGTTGACACAAATATATTTGGCATCACTGGGGAATTTAAAACTACAGACAGTGTCATGATCCTCAAGCTCCCAATGACAGTATTACTACCAAGGAGAACTGCTGTTAAAAAGTTTTATGCTGTCATTTCTATGCTAAACATGAGGGCATGTTAGTTTCTGGTTAGCAATAGCAGGTATAAAGATTAAACAATAATTTTTCAAACTCTCTCAAGGTACACTGGGCTTGCTCAAGAAAATAAGCATGAGAATCTGGTAAAATATGCAGCAGGACCTTTGCATTATTTCAGTTACCTTCTATCTGATTTAGGGATGACTCTGTGGGGGTAAAATCTATTTACTGTCTCACCTCATCCAAGAGGCATATCTGATTTACATTCAACCAGGAAGAAAGATGCATGTTTGAGATTTTGTTTTGGTTTTTCCCCAGATATTTTTAGACTAGACACTTCCCTCATGGTCAAATTCAATTAAAAAATCAAAAAATTCAGAAAACTGGTCTGGGAAGAACATGTGTGGACCCAGGGCTTCTGCAATAACATTTTCTTTTCTTAAAGAAGTAACACAAGGAGGCCTTAGTGTGGAATAACCAGACTTTGTCACCTGGCCTGGGTTTCAAGTTTTCATAGTCTTTCAGAGATTAAGAAAGGCACTGGCCACTTTCATATTAGTTTTTTTTTTTTTTTTTTTTTTTTTTTTTTTTTTTTTTTTTTTTTTTTTTTTTTTTTTTTTTTTTTTTTTTTTTTTTTTTTTTTTTTTTTTTTTTTTTTTTTTTTTTTTTTTTGGTACCAGGTATCAAACTAAAGACTCTGCTGCCACTTTCATATTATATAAAAAACAAAAAGAAGAAGAGAAAATTACACCAAAATAAGGTGACAAAAAATGTGGTCTGTTTTAGATGTCAGTATGTAACAAGAAAACAATTTTAACATGCAGTCAGCTCTTCATGCCATTCCTGAGTAATTAAGAGTTTTTAGGGGGTATTAAAAATATTGGCCCATAGCTTCTAATAAATGAAGGCCGGTAATGAAACACAGGGTTAAAGTTGACTGCTGCTATCTTGGTTCTTCAACCCTGCAGGGCTCCTCTGTAATTATAGGAATGACCAAAGGTACCGAAGCCCTTTGTGTCAGTGAACCACAGGCCTGTGGCCCTCCTAAGCAGGGAGTTGCTTCCTATGGCAGGGTGTTGGCACTTGGGAATGTCCAGCTTGAACAGAGAGCCATCATGACCTGTCCTTTTTAATGTCAAGGGAGCAGATCAGCTCAAAAGCCATGACTGTGTTGACATAGCTACTAATGGCAGCTATTTCATTTTTCCAGTTCACATTCTCTGAGTTTTCAAGAGTTTGTGTAGAGTCCATAGGTCTTGTGCAGGTGGGGCCTACTGGAGAACATGGAGATTTTGAGCAGAAAGAAGCAAAAATAGATGCCTATACCCCCAAAAGAAGTTCCTAATGAGGACTCTCCATAAGAGAGGACTCTGTTCATAACAGACAAGGGGTCTGAAGGCTAAAGGACTCCTGAGAGTAGTACTCTGGTCAAAGCTGGGTCGGCCCCTTGCCTGCTTTATTTTTCCTGTAGGCATTGCTTCTGATTTGATAGTAGTTTCAAGCTGGGTAGAGCAGAGATAATTTTGTTTCCCAACCTAATCTATGGAGATTGTCCACTTCCCTAAAATTCAGCTTGCAGATATCAGAGGAGGCTAACATTTCTATAAGCCTAGGGGGACACCAAGAGGGGCTAGCACCCATGGGCAGAGAGTTAGCAGATGGTAGCTGGTGCCAGTGAGCTAGAAAGGCCTGAGGACTGGGAGCTTGGTGTCAGACACAGGGAGAGGGAGCAGATATATGGGAAGTAAAGGAAGTGAAGCCAGCTGGCTTTAAAATGGGGAAAGAGGTTCTACTGAGTGACTTCACAAGAATTACGGAAGTATCTGAGGCTGGTTCAAAATGATGACTTATACACCTCATTAGAGGGGGCCAAGTGGGATAGTGTGGGCTTAAGAGTTTAGGAGTTGGGCCACATATACTAGAAGATCTTCTCCCTGCCTCTCCTCCAAAACCTTCAAAATTCATTGCTCAATATTTAACTGATTAACAAGAAAGTTATAAACTTTTTGATTCCTCTGGTCTGGGCTCCATCCAAGAATCTCTATAAAATAGGGCCAATGGCTTTTCCTCGGTTCCTCTGGACACCTCTTCTTCCTGCTAGAACACACTCAGAAGTCCTTCTCAAGGCCTGTGGGTACTGAGGACCTACTGGAATCTGCTGCCTCTTCATGCCCATCTCCTTCCACCCTGAAGACATCCTTGGCTTTCCATAAGGCAAAGTGTTTTGCTGCAGATCTGTTCCCCAGATGCCCACAGGCAGGGCTATACCCTCACTAATTCAGGCCTCTTTGTGAGCCTCTGATTAATCTGTTCTGACTGTCTCAGGTACCCTGGTACCTGAGTCTGGGTATCTTAAACAATAGATGTTTCTGTTCTTGTAGCTCTCAACCTGAAAGTCCAAGGTGAAGGTGCCTGCAGGACTGAAGGAGGGATCTAGTCCAGGCCTCCCGCCTTGGATTGCCAGACATCAGTCTCTTCTGTATCTTCACATGCTGTCTTCTCCATGCATCTGCTCCCAAACTTCCTCTTACAAGGACATTACTCAGTGATCAATTTTTTAAAACCACCATAAAGTCTCTATTTCAAATATAGCCGCACTCTGAGGTTCCTGGGGTTAGGACTTCAATATAGAAATTTTGGTGGTGAGTACACACAACACAGCCTCTAACAGCCTCTTACTAGGGAAGGGTGTTCCTATTAACTGACCAGGACTTGTTCATTTATTATTTATTCATTATTCTTGAAGGTCTCTCTTTGTTTAAATATCAACCCCAGGGCCAAATTCTTTATTATGTTCAGTGACATTGCTCCAATGTGTAGCTCACTGCTTGCAGAGTAGCATGCCCTTGATGAATATTCATGAGTGGGTAAATGCATTTTGTGAAGTTATTATCAATTGCCTATAAAAAAGCAATCACAGAGAAAACTGTTCAAGGTATACTATTAAGAAAACAAATTACAAAAGCCATACAAGTATCATAGCTTTATTCTTTTTTTTTTTGGTAAGGGGGATCAAACTCGGGTCCTTGAGCTTGCAAGGCAGGCAGCAGAACCACTGAGCCAAATCCCTGGCCCTTTTATTCTTAAATTACACCCATATAATTTTGTTTTATAGAAACAAAGTTTAGAGAAATATGCCACAAAATACTAATACCAGGTGTGCTTAGGACCTGAGACTTTGATTTATTATTTTGTTTATCATGTATTTCTCTTGTTTATCATAATTTTTCTACATGAATATGTTTATTTCTGTAGGATAAAAAATAAAATTTATTAATATTAGACATTTTGTCATCACTTTTAACTGGCTATTAAGAAAAAAAATACACTATTTTCCTTTTGCAGTGGGGAATGCAGGAAACAGAGTGGCCAAAAGAACAACCTGTGGGGGGCCAGGGATTTAGCTCAGTGGTTCTCCACCTGCCTCACAAGTGCAAGGCCCTGAGTTTGATCCCTGGTACCTCCCCCCACAAAAATAATAATAATCGCTGCTTCTAGTCTCTGGCCCAGACTAAATTTGATTCTTTTGATCTCAATGATTTGGAAATAACAGGACACCAAGAGTCAGAGACAAGTCCAATGGTCTGGTTGTCCCTTTATTCCTTTTGGTGAGCAAGCCAAGCAATACCCTTCATATTGCTTTTGGGCAAAGAGCCTGGACTTGAGGTTATGTAATATAGGCACCAAATTTAAGGCACACTGCAAAAATTTAGTAATCCAGATAAATAATTGTGCAATATTTTCAAAATATAAATTTGTAAAAATCTATAATGAACAAAATATCATCAATTTCAAAAAAGAAAAGTTACAGCTTTTTACTTTGTCTCAAGCTTCATTATGACTCAGAAAAGCATGTCTAGTCCATGACCTAAAGGTAGGAGACTATCAATTATCCTAATCATGATTAATTCCTTCTTAACTTTAATTAATTATTATAAATGATTCTGTCCCTCAGAACCAACATCTTTCACTCCATGATTGTTTAGCCTTCAGTGAAGGGCCTTGTAGGGTACCAGTAAGAGAATGTATATTTTTCCAATCGTGCAGATTCCTTTATTCCATATAAGATACCTCATCATAGCTCTCTTACCTCACTGAGGACTCTGAGGGGCAGGATTCATCTTATTCTTTTATAGAAACATAAAATGCCAGCAAAGCATGATTTCTACCCAAAAGAGCACAGAGCAGACTTTGCAGATGTTGCAGACTCCTCCCCCAGTACTTCTGGAGAAGAACCTTCAACCTTGGCCTGCCTTGCTTGGCAAACACAAAATAGCCAGCATCCCATCTACTCCCCAGAAGAAGGAGTGACCTTTCTGTACTGAGGTTGAGTAGGTCTTTGATCCCAGTTGAGTGTTTCCCTGGGGGACTTTCATATCATCATATTATGGGACTTTTATGGGTATTAATTTATCCACATGTAAAGTACTTCACAGTATACAACACATGCCATTGTTAGCTAAAAGAAGTAACAAAAGTCACATTTAAAATCTTGTTTTTTGTAATAGTCTCATTTGACACAAGACTCATCTTTTGCTAAAACCATAAATTCTAAGTTGCTTTGTAAAGGCAATCACTAAAAAAGTGATATTCTTAGTTTATATATATTAGAAAATTTCTGGGCCGGGGATTTAGCTCAGTGGTTCAGCCTCCTGCCTCATAAGCCCAAGGACCCAAATTCAATCCCAGGTACCAAAAAAAAAAAAAGAAAGAAAATTTCCCCTGTGTTTTCAGTTTGATTTGATGTATGGAACATCACAGAATGGACTTAACGTATGGAAATGTTTCTGAAAGCACCTGTAGAAATCTATGTTCTATGTAGCTACTGAAAAACCCAAAGACTAATAATGGAAGGGATTATTTGACTACAAATGGTACATAAGATTTATATTTGGTTATGGTAATTTTAGCACAATCCAGTATAAAATAGTGATCTAGATCAACTTCATAACAGTGAAGAAATGGGTTTTTTTTCCTTTAAATGAGAGAATGTATCTCACCACAATTCCCCTTCCTCCCCTAGTGTTTTTGGATTTTAATGTGTTTACTGGAAATGTGGACCACATCAGGATTACACAGCTGTGTTCTGTAGGATGTCTGGCTAGTTGAAGTTCACTTTGATGTGAGAGATGTCCAGCCAGTCCCAGATGTTCAGGACTTCGCAAACCAGGGGTCTGATTCATGGTGAAGAAGCCATCAGGGACATTCCAGCCTCGGGGATATAATATGGACTGGAACTGGGGAACCTAGGTACCACTGGAACTGGCACTCCATCTCAGGAAGCCATCTCGGCTGTGCCAAGTTGCTAGATCAGTCCTCTGCAGCTGAGGCCCCATCATCCTGGCACAGGCATGGACAATCTCTAGTGTGCCCTGCCTAATTTCCTAATCCCATATCATGAGCATGGCGTGGGGGGGTAGACAGGCACTATACTTAATGTTGGAGATTTTAAAAGAAACATTGTTTTCTTGTGAAGGAGTGTCTAGTGGGTGAAATGAGAAAACAATTACCATACAATGTGGTGCAGTGTTGCATGGGCTTACAGAAGAAACCCATTACATCCAAGATGTTGAGAATCTCACAGCCTTGGGGGAAGCACTGCAGAGGAGGCCATGCAAACCTCAGAAAATTAGTAGAAGCTTCCCAGATAACCAAATTGAGCAGCTACACAGTTTCCAATTCTGGATTTTAGAGCTAAATCTCTGCCTGCAAATAATAGGACAGAACTGGTTTGGACACTTGGCTTTTATTGTTACTATGGTCTCAGAATCTCTCTTGGCCCATGGGCAGAGCACTGATTGCATAATCACTATACCTCTTTGTGGGCATATTGTATTTCACCTGTGTGGCCAGTGCACGTAAGAAGGAAGTGCCCAATGGAGATGCAGCATTATTCCTTAGGGCCCCGTGAAGGGCACCCTACAGAAGCCAGGCTGACTCAGTAGGAGTCTAGGCCTTTGCCCCAGACAGATGCGACCTAAATTGTTGGGTGTTGTGGTTTTGTCTACTGTACTTCTTATCCTGTGTCTGTTAGGATGAGATTTGTGGCCTCTACCTTCACCCAGATTGCTGTCATAATTCCTATGCACAGAGAAATTCTAGAGGTACTTCAGAGGGGACTCCATGCTGTGAAGGTAAACACTGTTTTGCCAGTAAGGAAACAGCCACTATGAGAAATATATCATATCCTGAAATCTATGAACTTTGTCCTTGGGATACAAACCTGGCTAAAAAGATTTCTTCAAACTTTTCCCTGCTGTCAAGTGGAATGATTCTCCTCCTCCTCAGCCTTTCTTCTTCCTTCTCTTCTTCCTCCTCTTCTAGCACTGTCTTTCTAATGTCAGCTAATTTGATGAGGCGCTGTTGAAAAGACTTTTAGAAGAAACCGGAGCAACATGTTACATCCTTGCCAGAAAATCATTCTAACGTAAGAGAGCCTTGGACAATTTAGCCAAGGTTTCCTTTTAAGAGAGAAGTTGATACATCTTACAAGTACTAAGGTATCACACAAATGAAACAAGTGGCGGGGGGATCCCTATCCTTCCATGACAGTGACAGGTCTGGGAGAACGAAGGGGAGTAAATAGGAATAAATGATTTGAATTGAGCATGAGCTTTAAGTGACGCACATAGATGCTTTGGGGTTGGAGCACTGGCAGGATTAGGAGAAAAACAATGGACACCATTGATTTCTTTATTTATACTCGGTCTTGTTCCAGTGTGGATTGTGCAGTGAGCCTACTTCCTGGGAAAGTGGAAGGTATGAAGCTTATTGCTACAGACAGGGTGCTGTCAGGGTCCTTAGAGCTGGGAGAAGGGCTGGCACCTGCTTTAGAAAACCAGGAATCTGAGCACACTTCTTTCCTTGCTTGCAGGTGATCTGCGGAAGTAGCAGTAGACTGAGAAAGAGTTTAGATTTTCCACAGCACCAGGGCAAATGGAAGCAGAAGCAAATAAACCTTATAAGATGAAGAGTAATGTGCCCAGGAAAGAAACAGGAAGTTCTTAGTCTCACTTGAAACTCTGTTCTACCCCGAAATATCCAATAAGCCTAGTAGACATTATATGGCATTTCAGGGCATTATATGACACGCTTTTATTTTTTCAAAGCATTTAAATTTTTAAATTAGCATTCTCATTTCAACTGACTCACTTGGCTAGGGCCAGGGATTTAGCTCAGTGGTTCCACCGCCTGCCTCGCAAACGCAAGATTCTTAATTCAATCCCCAGTACCCCCAAAACAAACAAAACAAAACAAAATTGACTCACTTGACAAAAACAAACCCACATACCATGAGAAGATGGGAGAAAAGTTGAGGAGTGGAAAAAGACAGGTGGAGAAGGCACTGCAAAGTTTTCTAAGATATGAATGCCAGCACCACTGAATGCCCAGTTTACTGAAAAATTCAGACTACAATGCTCTGGAGTTAAGAATGAGAAAAGTTATTCCATGTTATATCATATCATGATAATAATTCTTAAGTGTATATTCACAGTCTACATGGAGAACATGATAATGACCATAGACTCTGTACTGAAAACACATACACACAAATATATATATATGACTTACCCACAAAATCCCATTCTGTAAGATCTAGTTATGGCCTTAAAGATGGAAACCAAAGTTAGAACAAACATAATATGTAATCCTGGTCACCTGACTGCCATAAAATCTTATTGGCTGTAACTTAGATTTATTCTATAGTTTAAGTCTATTCCTGATTTTTCTATCCTCTTAGCTTAAGAGATTGTTATAAAATTTCTTGTATAGGCTTTTCATATACACTTTTCTAATGGTTTTGAAATTTTTTCATGATTATTTTTGCTTTAAACTGAAAATTCCTTAATGTTTCCTTACAGATGGCAGGATAGAGAGCTGGTTGTCTTCCAGTATCTAGTTGTTCTTTCTGACTTTATCATCTAAAATTTATGTTTTCTAAGCCTCCCTTGCTGCTAGACGTGGCCACCTCTTTAAACTTTAAACCAATGATGTGTAAGCATTGTGCTATATGAATTGTGCTGAAACATCTCTCTTTTTCCCTTTCTTCACTCCAATGTTTGCAACGAAGACAGCACCAGGGAAAGTGGAGGTGATGGGCAATACCATCTATTGAATTCTCTGGTAGAAGATAAGTTTCATGAGGGCAGGAACTTTATCTCCATCAAAAGAACAACCCTAGTCCTTAAACAGCATGTGACATGCACTAAGGGCTCAGCACATACATTATGGAGTGAATAGATGAATAACTGAGTTTATCCAGACCCATAGAAACAAAGTCTTAGCTTCTTGCTAAACTCTTGCTTAATTCAAATCATATTATTCCCATTTATTCCCCCTTGCTGTCCCAGAATTGTCACTATTACAGAAGGATGTGATTTTTTTTTTCTTCCTTAATGCCTTTCAGTGAAAAATAAAATTTTTTTTCTGGGCATGGTGGCACATGCCTGAAATCCTAGCACTTAGGAGGCTGAGCAGGAGGATTGCCATGAGTTCAAGACCATCCTGGGCTAGTGAATTCAGTGCCAGCCTGAACTACAGAGAGAGACCTTGTCTCAGAAAAAAAAGAAAAGAAAAAAAATGCTTTCCCTGAAAATAAAACATTTTCAAAGCAATGCTTTCTTTCTTTTTTTTTTTTTTTTTTTTTTTTTTTTTTGGTCTCACTATGTCGTTGAGACTGACCTGGAACTCACTATGTAGTCCAGGCTGGTCTCGAACTCGCAGAGATACTCCTGCCTCAACCTCCCAAGTGCTGGGATTACAGGAATGCGCCACCACGCCCGGCTAAAGCAATGCTTTCAATATCTTTCTTCTCAGAAGTTTTAAATGGTTTAGCCTTCAAGGTCCCGCGTATCTAAATTTGTATATGTCTGTTAAATGCAGGCACTCTTTGGGAACATGATCTCAGATGTCTTCTCAAAGAATCATCCCAGGTGCTATCTAACAACACTCTGAGCACTTTGGATGACATTATTACTGGTCAGTAGGTCTTGTGGACTTAACAAGATGTTGGTTCCTGAAACTGAACTTCAGAGAACATTGTCGCATTCCACTACAATTTGCCATGCTTTAAAAATCATTTTTTTGGTCCCCAAATATTGCTTGAATCTTTTAAATGATTTAAATTAAAGATTAACCCCCTCTGCTTCCCAGCATTTTGAAGTGACTTTATCTTCTGGCTCACAGGCTGTTCCCTCTGGCCCTTTCTGTGATCTCTTGTGTGTTTGTAAATGTTCACTTTTTGCATCTATATATCATTTTCTTCCTAGTTTCCTTTTACTCATCCCCAAAATTTATTTGCATTTGTTTTAAGTATTTGGAGGAAATAATTAGCACCATCTTCCATTTTTGCCTATACCTGAGCTCCTTCCATTTTGCTAAAATTTCTCTTCAATTTATTCATATTTGAGAGAGATATAACAGTCAGGCCTCTGTACCCATGGGTTCTTGCATCTGTGGGTTAAACTTTCTATGGATTGAAAATATTTGAAAACTATTGCCTCTGTATCGAACATGTGCAGACTTTTCGGCTTGTCATTTTTCCATAAACAATACAGGGTAATATTTATTAACATAGGATTTATATTGTATTATATATTTTTTCCTTTTTTGTCTTTCCTCTTTTTTCTTCTATTCTGTCAACATTAGATTTATTTTATTTTTAAGTCTTTATCAAGTTATTTATCATAAACAGATTAATAGCCAGGCTAACAGATCAAAAACCATATAAAACAATTATATTAATCAATTAGATATATTGTCCATGCTAGATTACAATAACTTTTTTCTTTCCTGTTGTCTGTCTTTTATTTTGCACTTTATATATTCTTATTTATGAGAGAAAACTTGCAATATTTAAGCACATGTTTTTTATTTACTTCACTTAACATTATAGTCTCAAGTTGTATCCATTTGCCTACAAATGATTCAAAGGTATCCTTCTTTGTGGTAGAGCAGTACTCCATTTTCTTTATCTGCTCATCTGTTGATGGACATACAGGCTGCTTCCAAAATACAGCTATTATGAATTGTGCTATTGTAGATTGGGTATCCATGTATCCCTGTAATGTGATGTCTTTAACTCCTTGAGGAACATACCTAGAAAGGGAATAGCTGGGTCAAATGGAATTTCTACTTTTAGTTTTTTGAGGGATCTCCACGCTGTTTACATAAGGGTTAATACTAGTTTACATTCCCAGTAACAACTGAGAAGCATTCCTTTTTCTCTTCAGCCTCTCCAGCATTTTTTATTATTTGATTGTTTTGTTTTGTTTTGTTTTGAGACAGGGTCTCACTATATAGTTGAGACTGACCTGGAACTCACTATGTAGCCCAGGCTGGTCTTGAACTCATAGCAATCCTCCTGCCTCAGCCTCTCGAGTGCTGGGATTACAGGTGTGCGCCACCATGCCTAGCTATTATTTGATTTCTTGAAGATAAGCCATTCTTTCTGGAGTGAGATGGAATCTCAGTGTTGTTTTAACTTGTACTTCTCAAATAGTGATGTTGAACTGTTTTTCAGTACATTGTGTTATATAAGTAATATAGAGATAATTTAAATTATATGGAGCATGTACACCGATTGTATGCAAATATGCCATTTGTATATAAGGGATTTGAGCATCCTTGGATTTTGGCATCCATGGAGGATCCTAGAACCAAGCCCTCAGATGGCCTCAGAGGGACAACTATATTTTGTTTCTGTTGAGTATATCAGGCTTCTTTTAAGCATATCTTTCTACTTCTGTACACAAAATTGCTTTCTTATTTTTGAAGTCCTGGGGAATTGAAACCAGGCCTTGTACAAGTTAGGCAAGGCCTGTACCATGGAGCTATGCCCCTTGCCCTTTTTAAATTTTGAGACAGGGTCTCACTACTTTGCCAAGGCTGGCCTTGAACTCATGATCCTCCTGCTTCAGCTTCCTAAGTAGCTGGGATTACAAGCATGTGCCACTCCTGACTGTAATTGCCTCTTTCTCAGAGTGGTTTTTCAAATAGGGAAAAATAGAGGTCCTCAAATAAATTCTTCCTAAACTTCTCCACCAGAAATGTCTCTGATCATGTAAGTTCTTCTTCTTTGCTTCTTTTTTGCTTCTGTTTTGTGGTACTGGGTATTTAACCAAAACCCTTAGCACTGAGGTACATTCTTAGTCCTTTTCCATTTTTATTTATTTACTTTTGAGACAGAGTCTCAGTAAATCACTAAGTTGTCCAAGCTGGGCTTGAACTTGAGATTCTTCTGCCTCTGTTTCCCAGCGTGATGGAATTATAGGCCTGTGTCACTAGGCCTGATTTCCTTACAGGCCTTTTATATCTAAGGCTCATCTGTTCCACTTCTGCCTTCTCAGGGACTTTGCTCCATACATTTACCCTTTTCCTCCAAGTTCAAAAATGTCTTTCCTCCATTGGCTCTTACTCTTTAACATATATTATCCTACCTTTGTCCCTCTTAAAAAGAGAAAACTTCCTTAGACTACATCTCCCTTTAAATGTGACTACATTGGGCAGGGAGGGGATTTACCTCATGCCTGCCTTATAAGCACAAGGTTCTGAGTTCAATCCCCAGTACCCAGAAAACAAATAAACAAACAAACTATGGCCATATCTCCCTTCCCAGTCAAAGGTTTGGGCAGAGAAGCCCTAGGTTCCTACTTAGACTACTTCTCTCCACTGCTCCCACCGTTTCCCACTCCCTGCTGGTCAGCTCGCTCGCACACAGCCATGGCATATATAGCTTTCCAGCCCTCCTGGAAGCGTGTGACTCTGTTCATTAGAGTAATAAATACCGAGTGCCTACTGATCAGGCACTGTGCCAGGTGCTGCTGCTGCAGAAATGTGAAGACATGATTCCCACTCTCATGGGACTCACCTGATCAGCCACTCCTGATCAACTCTTGTTGCTTGATGTCCTCTGCTCACCTGTGCAGGCTTCTCCTCCTGCCACTTCAATCTCCCTGTTCTCTAAGTCTCCTTCCCTCCCTCCCGCATTCTCTTTTATCTTAAGGTAACCACCTCTACACCCATTACTTCAATTACTTTCTATAAACTCTGATAAAAATACATCTTTGTTTTGATTTAAAATTTTATTTTACACGACATACCTCATTTCCTAAAACTATAGATTCCAAGTTGCTCTATGAAATTAGTCACTAAGAAAAGTAAGATTGTTAGCATATAAGTTTTAGGAAACACAAACCTAATTTTTGGTTTGTGTGTTTGTATGTTATATTTGAAAACAATTTGGAATGTTACAAACTGGACTTGGCTTACATACAGAGGTTTATATCCAACTTTCAATTAGAGAATTCCATTTTGATATGCTACTTAACAGAAAGAAAACAAAAACAAAAAACTATCTTCTTCCTCTACATCTCTTCCCATAATTTTGTCTAAGAGATGGCACTGTTGTGCACCTGGTCCCCCAAATCAGAACCTCAGCAATCTTTTTAGCCTTCTATTTTTCTTCCTCCTCCACAGTTACTCACCAAATACTACCTATTTTATCTCCCAAATGATTACAAATCTTTTCCTCTTCTGTCACTGCCACTGCCTTTGGTTTGAACCCTTTTTCCTCTCCTGGATGAAGAGGGTCTCTTCATTGGTCCTGTAGTGTCCTCTAATCCTTTATTGTTCAGAGTGAGCACATCACAAACACTTCTTAGTGACATCTTGATTTCACATCATTGAATGACCCTTACCTTTCTAGGTTAAAATTCAAACTCTGCTCAGGCATCTGCTTTGGAGTCAGACAGACCTGAGCTTGCATCCCAGATTCAAGTCCAGTCCACCAGAGTGACCTCAGACCACTGGACTCCCCCAAATTTTCTCATCTGCCTGACTCCCTGAGGGTTGGGACTTTCATATGCAGTGCTGAGCACCTAGAAGGAATTTAATCAATGTTGATTGAAGGGAAGGCACTTAAAATCCACATAAAAAACCTTCTCTTCTTTAAAACAAAATAAACCTTACTATTCACTGTCATTTCCCATGAGTTTGATGTCTACCTTTACTTTCACATAATGAGGACAAGGTGCTTGCAGGGAACTAGACTGATACCCACATTCTCAGAGCCTCGCCCTGAAGCATTCATGTGACCTTGGGAAAGTTACCAGCTTCCTGCATTTCAATTTTCTTCTGTAAAATTTAAGATGGGATTGCATTTGAGAGTTAAATGACTATCAGTAGGAACAGCATCGGGTAATCATACTTGATAAATGTTAACTATTCTTTATCATCTTTATGGAATTAGGACCTTGGTACCCCACTTTATCCTCAATTTTGAAGGAGAATAATTGTGCTTTATGCAGTGTTGGTAATGGGAGGAAAATCTGCAAACTCTTGCTGTACTGAGAAACAGGCGAGAGAAGGCAGTTGCGAGGGGCCCGTTCCTACGCCACTGGCGAGGAAGTAGAGGGGTTTTGTGACCGATGGGTCTGCGGGTCTCATTCAAGGCACACAGCCGCAACTCTACTGAGCGCAGCACCAGAGCCCCAGGATTGCTACGTCAAGTTGCAGGCGGAGAGCAGCTGCAAAACTGCCACCAATCCGGAGGTAACTAACTTCAGCGGTCAAATGAAAGTTCAGACGCGGAAAAACCAGAGCTTTACTAATTGTGGCTTTCTGTAAAGTCTGTCCACCCGGACCGCCTCCAGTCACAAACAACACGGTTACGCCCCGCAGGACCGGAAAGCGCCGGGAAGCCACGGATGAATGGAAGCCGAGTCCCGACCTGCGCGAGGGGCGAGGCAACAGCGGGAGGGGCGGGGGCTCTGTGGCGTCATGGCATGGGCGGGCACGTGAGGGGCTCCTGGTTGTGATTGGCTTTTGATAGCCACGTGATTGAAGGCAGCGTTCCGGTTGGTAGGTGCTGGTGTAAAGGCCTTCTTTTGGGAGGTGCGACGGAAAAAAGGAGGAGCTCTGACCGCGCTCTCTGCCGGCAGTGGCTGTGCTTCTCAGCGCTAGTCGGGTCCCCACCCCTTTTAAATAAGCCAAGCTGGTCGCCGCCCTCGCAGTGTAGTCAGCTCTGAGGAGTCGGTGGTGGTTGTGCAGGTGGCG